TAGAACCCAGTGTGAGCCATTATTCCACCAATAAAAGGGATCTCTAGGAAGTTCAGTTGCATCTTTCAAAGACCCTTCCTTTCACCAAGTAGAAAGTAGAACGGAAGGCTGTTTGTGTCTGATTTAAAAACTTTCATTTTGGGTTTACACAATGGTTTGATCAATAAATATATTCAACCTATTAGCCTATAGATTAGATTAATTTACTCTTAACCACTATTAAGACATTGTCATTCACATTAAAAGCCTATTTAATTGAGCCTATGGTAGGCTTACTAGGAGGACATGGGTGCAAGTGTACCCTCATCTCATATTTCTGAGCAAATGATATAAAGAGGGCTTCTCTACCCCAACCCTATAACCCAAAGTAGACCAGACATCTCTCCTGGATGTTCAAATGATGTCCAGGGACTTTTGGTTCTTAACACAGGGTAAACTGGACTGAACTGGTTTCATCCCGTGTTAAGCAAGGTCAAGTAATACTCCAAAATTTTGAGAAACTCCAGAACAGCCCCACACTTTGGGCAGTATGTGGACATCAGACAGGCTCCAGTGTGAACCAATCTCCAGTCCATATGGGTTCCGTTATCCTGCTTTTCCTGCACTCTGCAGCACAGGGAAAAGGGGACCGATTGAAGCTGAGTGGTCCTTTTTGCCATTGCAGGTGACTGGATTGCTCTAAAGATATCAGCAAAGCATCCAGGGAGAAGGGAGGAGATCAATTACGACAGCGAAAGTGCCTGTCAACAGCCAGGAACTGTCCAGCCACCTGCTGAGGTGACAGGGGAAACAGGAAAGATAAGGGTGACAGTCTAGCTGGGCCAAATCAGTTTTGGTCTGATAGGACCATCTAGACTTCATCACATCACTACTACAGGTTGGGGGAGGGAAGCATCTGAACATCTCTGCAGCAAATCCAGAACATTTATGACCTGGGCTAGCCCCAGATATTGTGGTAAACGTAAATGAGCCCTGAAACACACTGTATAACACATTGGCATCCTGACTAGTGGCCACTGATGGCCCTAGCCTTTAACCCCCTTCTCTGCTCTTGACTTTGCAGGCTCCTGAACTCTAGTACTCAAAAACTGAAGTGTATAGGAACATTCCCCTTAGTATGCATGCTACTCCCCTGTGTTTTTCACTTTCAGGCTTACCAGCTCACAGCATGGGCCAAAGTGACTGTTTCTAAAGCTTTTTCCTATAAGCAATGAAGGGAAGACACATATAGATCTCAGGGCACATTGTCTTTTTCTCTCTCTCAGCATGAAATGACCAAATCAGGTCAGCTTGTTCTGAGTTGTCCAGAGCACTACTTCATTATTACCCTGTTGCAAGGATAGACCCAGGTCAGCACTCTAATTGAAACAACTTCAATATATTTAGCACTTTGTGCTATTATCTTCCTGGAGTTTTCAATGACAGTCTGAAGGAAAGAACAACTTGACCCACTTCTCTGGTGATGATGCACCTAGAAGAACTGCACTATAGCTTTTTATACACGTCTACCCAAAAGGAAGCCCTGTTAATTTCAGTAGAGTTTATTGCCAAGTAAAAGAGTTCAGGGTTACATCACTGGAGATCTCAGAAGAGCTCAGATATTAATCAAGATTCTTTTTCATTCTAACCAAGATAGTTATTATTTTAAACTTTATGTGATAAGATGCCTCTGTTCTTGGGGCTATCCTTCTGGAAGCTAGCCTGAAATTCTCAAAAGAAAATCATGACATCTAGAGACCATATTAATGCTATTTTGATGCAGGTTTCAAAGGCTTAAAGAAATTATCACACATAAAATGGTTCTGAAGACAAAAATAATACTTCCCCATTAGCATCTTTTGTGGTTTTTTTTTTTAAATTAAATTATCTTAAATTAAAATGAATGATGTCATTATAAGATTTCCAATTTGTATTTTCAGAAAACCTCAGAAACAAACAAAAGCAATACAAGTCACCCTCCACATGTATTACTTCGAGGTCACCATGATCAAAACATTGAGGCAAATATTGCATGTGAAGTTCATTCGTTCAGTCGTCTCCGACTCTTCGTGACCTCATGGACCAGGCCACGCCAGAGCTCCCTGTCGGCCGTTACCACCCCCAGCTCCCTCAAGGTCAGTCCAGTCACTTCAAGGATGCCATCCATCCATCTTGCCCTTGGTCGGCCCCTCTTCCTTTTGCCTTCCACTTTCCCCAGCATAATTGTCTTCTCTAGGCTTTCCTGTCTCCTCATGATGTGGCCAAAGTACTTCAAAATATTGCATAAAAACAGTATAAACAAATCCAAAACCCCTTGTGGACTTGGTAAATACTGTATATATATTCATGATTATAACATGGCCTCTCCTGGCCTTGCTCTTTCTAGACACACAAGGTCCTCAATCCAACATTTTCTTAAAGTAGCATAAATACCCTCACAAGCACCTATGCTTTACTGAGCCATATACCCTCCCATCTTACTATTGTTGTTAGTTTGTTGTAGTTCTTCAAATCCAGTGCCAGTCTCCTGATGTCACCCAATTCCCCTATTTCTTAAAAATGTATCATGCTCTCCAGGTAATTTTTGCCTGAAAATGAACAGAACCCCCTTATGCAAAAAGGATAACATCACTTCCAGCTTTCATTTTGATACATATCTAAAATATTGTCTCTGTATCTCTCCCTGATAAATGGAGTTGCCCACCCCAATTTACCTTAAATAAGAGGACCTACAAAGGCCTGGTGATTCCAACACTCTGCTCATGTCATCAGTTTCTTCAGGAACAAAAAAAACCTGTCAATGTTATATTGTTATTTGTCTATAAATCTACTCACTTATGAAACCTAACTGCTCCCCCACTTTCTGAACCTACTAATGAATTCAAACTTTCCGAATCTTATAACACATGTAGCTGGAGGCATTTCAGTGCTTGTGTGATGTTGCCAATTTATTGCACAGTATAGTATATTTAATAGTCACAACAGAAATGTTTATCTCAATAGTTGGAAGAATCCCCAACTGTGTTTCCTGTAGCAACAGCAAATGTGTACTACTAATGAGGGTATATGTGGAGATCCCACCAACCATTCTATGCTGTTCTGTTTCTTTTCCATAAGGCTGCTTCACCCTGTGCTCTACATATCTCCACCTTTTAATTAAACATGGACAATTTCTAAAATTAATGTCGTCTTTTCAGCATTTAACAACTTTCCGTTCCATCTGTTCATTTGCATCCTCCTGAACTTGATTTCCAGATTCTCAATTAAACAAGTTAGTGAAATATGGTTCAAACAGAGATCTTGCTGCAATGTTCAAATGTTATAGCCAAAGGAGACAACCGAAATGTGCCAAGAACATTTCCCAAGGTAGTTAGTTTTCTTCCACCAATTGGCCTGAACACAAAGGGGATGGACACCATTATTCAAGAAGGATATTGACAAGCTGGAACGTGTCCAGAGAAGGGTGACCGAAATGATTAAAGGTTTGGAAGTCAAGCCCTATGGAGGGCACTTTAGGGAGCTGAGTATGTTTAGCTTGGAGAAAGGAAGGCTGAGAGGGGACATGATAGCCATGTTTAAATATTTGAAAGGAAGTCACGTTAAGGAAGAGACAAACTTATTTTATGCTGCTCTAAAGAATAGGTTAAGGAGAAATGGATTCAAACTGCAGGAAAAGAGATTCCATCTAAATATTAGGAAAAATTTTTCCTGCTGTTAAGAGCTGTTGAACAGTGGAATATTCTGCCTCAGAATATGGTGGAGTCTCCTTCTCTGGAGGGTTTTAAGCAGAGGCTCTAAAGACTCTGTCAGGGGGCTGGACTGGATGCCCCTTGTGTTCTCTTCCAACTCTATGACCCTATGAGTCTATGACTCTTGTACACAGACTACCTTTGCCTTATTTATTTATTTGCGATATTTATATACCACCCTTCTCAACCCCAAAGGGGACTCAGAGCGATTAACAGCATTGGCAACAATTCAATGCCATTTATAAAAACATATACAAGTAAAACATCTGTTTGTGCATTCAGCTAGTCTCCAGTTACATAGGAAGTGAAGTAAGCATGGATGGTAATGTTATGAGAACATTTGCCTGTTTCCATCTTGTTCTCTCACTTCCATGCATTCTGGATGGTAACACCTTTCTGAAGCTGTTCTTATCTGTCAATGAGATGCTGGAGCTAGGGCTGTAACAGTGGCCCAAGAATGGCTACAGAAAGTACCTTGGGGTGGTACAATCAGGTTAGGACTTGTGGGTTGGATGTCCAGGGCCTCCCTTAAGAGAATGGGCATGATAGTCCCAAACACACTTGAGGGTGCTTACGACATTTCTCAAATAAACAGAAGTAAAATAATAAGTATGATAGTTAAAGGGCGTCTTTACCTTCTGAAGAGCCCCCAAACAATAAAATACTTAAAATTACCTGACTGCACTATCCTCACCTGTCAACAAAGCAGACTAACTGATAAAGCAGGATCCAAACATCCACAGAGGTAAGCTTTGTGAAACCAAAGGGACTTCAGTTTTTGTTTGATAAGCAAAACCCTGTTTCTATGGAGGAAGTTTCAAAAACAGCTAGTGATAAACCTCAGTAAGGCAAAGGGGAAAAAAGTGTCAGTTGCTCAAATGTGAAAAGAGGTCAGCCGCTCAGATGAAGATGAATAAGATCTTGAACAAAACAAGCCAAACCTAGCGAAGCATCCCAGCCCTACTCAGTAAAGAGGACCACAAAATGTTACCAGCTCTGCATATTTCATCATCCTGATTAACATTGGATTGTGACCCCTAAGGAGAAAGAGATCTCTTTCAAGTTTTGCTTAGCAGAAGGATTGTTACTGTTTTCCTGGCAAAGTCAGCAAGAGTAAGCTTCTTCCTTAATGAAGATATAAGGTTTATTCTTGGCATCAATGAAATCCCTTCCAGCGATAGTGTCAGGACTGCTATATGCTCATTATGCCAGCAGAAGGTACGAAGTAAGCAAGGATTTTGGGAAGAGGGGGAGGGAGATTTCATACGTTACCTGTTTAGTTCTCATTTTGGAGTCTGCTGACAGATTGTTGTATGTATAATGAGCCTGTGTGACTCCGCAAAAAAGGACTGCCACTATTCCTGAAATACAAAGGAGGTAAAATGCCATCAGTGGCTTGTGTTTTTCTCCCCTGGTATATGTTCAAAGGAATAGTGTGTGAGGGGACTATCTAGCCTGAAAATTAATCAAACTGCACTAAATGCTCTTTTTTTAAAAAAAAAAAAAAAAGATGGAATAAATGTGCTATAATATCTTTCAAATAAGCCTCAATGTATCCTCAATCAACATAATAGCAGATTAAGAATCTTCCCTGTTTCACAGTACCAGGGGTTTAATCTATGCATATATCTTTGTTGTTTGAAGTAAATCCTAAATGATATGCAATGTGAAACAAGACAGTATAATTTAGTGATACCAAGTAAGCGTGCATAGAATTGGAACCCTATCTGCTTCGTGTAACACAAATGTTTGTAAACTACCTTAAAACACAAACGGGATTTAAGGCAGCTATCAATAACTTGAAAAGATCAAGCTAAAACATTAATTTGCAATAGTAAAAAGAAATTAAACGACAGTATTATTTTAAAGGTGTTCAAAAATAAAAACACTTAAAACATAGTTAAAATATAATGACTAATAAAGATATGAAAAAACAATGTTACCTTTCACTATACTACTGCACTATAATTAAAATTCAACGCACCATCATTACTTCCAGGAAAAAAGCACTGAGGGACTAACTGGACTTTCTGTAGAAAGGAGTTTCAGAGCCTGGCAACAATCTAGGCCTCATCTACACTGGCATTATAATGCAGATTGGACTGCATTATATGGTCATATAATCCAGTTCAATGTAGTTAAACTGCAATATAAGAGTCTGCACTAATCATTATAATACCAGAGTAGATTAGGCCAAGTGATAAAAATGACCCAATGGGAAAAGACATGGGAGAGAAGAATGAAATACATTGCATGTCAAAACCTAAAAGAAAATGTTTATAAAATGCACCTGCAATGGTATTTCCCTCCAGAGAGACTAGCCAAGATGTATAATTGCACCGACAAATGTTGGAAATGTGGGAAAGAAAAAGGGACATTTTGCCACACATGGTGGACTTGCAACAAAGTATACAACTACTGGAAACAGATTCATGTATATCTTGAAAAGATGTTAAACACAAATTGCAAAATGACAAACCATAAATGTATCTTTTGAACATGGCTGATGAAAAACTAGAAAGGAAATTCAGATTTTTTTTTTTTTGCTTTACATGATAGTATATGCTAGATGTTGGAAAACCTCAGAGATACCTCCCTTAGAAGAATGGGAAAAATACATTACAGATTTGCTGATAATGGATAAAATAACTGTACTATTAAGAGGAGAACTATGTTAATGAATGGTAACCAATGATTCAATATCTCAATGTAAAATTAAACTAAAAATGTATATAAGGGATCCTATAAGACTGTAGACAAGGAGGAAGCAGATATTAAGTTAGAGCCTATGATACTTTTATATGTACTATTTAAATAGAAGACTGTGACTCCTTAAAGAAAATATATCATCTGAGAAATGATTATGGAACACTAATAGCTCAAAAGTATTGCACTGTATGCAACAAATGCTTACAAATGTATGTCTATTTGAATAAATAAATAAATAAATGTTAAAAAATTACCAGTGTAGATGAAGTCCTAGAGGAGACTAATCACTGAGTCCTCATCAACCACACCTACATGGCTGGTGGTACTGAGAGGAAGCCCTCTCTCGAAGATCTTAACATTTGCACTGGCTAATGTAAGGAGATGCCGCCTTTTAGATAAATTGAACCTATGCCATGTATTTATTTATTTATTTATTTAAAAGTTTTGTATACCAACCTTCTCACCTCTCTTGAGGGACTCAGACCGGTTTCCAACCATAATATCACATACAATCAATAAAACATCATAATACATATTACAGTAAAACATTAAAACAGCAATTACAATCAATAACTATAATGGTCAGTCATCACATTAAAATCGTTGCTCATCATCCTCCATCCATATCTCAGGGTGTTGGCTCACTCGTCGAATGCCTGTCTCCATAACCAAGTCTTCACCTGTTTCCTAAATGTCAGGATAGAAGGGGCGGTTCTGATCTCCAGTGGGAGAGAGTTCCAGAGTCAAGGGGCCACCACCGAGAAGGCCCTGTCCCTCGTCCCCACCAGACGCGCTTGCGAGGCCGGTGGGACCGAGAGCAGGGCCTCTCCAGACGATCTTAATAATCTTGATGGTTCATAGGGGAGAATAGGTTCGGAGAGGTAAACAGGGCCGGAGTCGTTTAGGGCTTTATAGGTTAACATCAGCACTTTGAATTGTGCTCGGAAGCTAATTGGCAGCCAATGGAACTGGTGTAACAGCGGAGTGGTGTGCTCCCTGTACCCAGCACCCGTTAGTAGTCTGGCTGACGAGCGTTGGACTAGCTGCAGCTTCCGGGCAGTCTTCAGAGGCAACCCCACGTAGAGAACGTTGCAGTAGTCTAAACGGGATGTAACCAAAGCTCTACATTTGTGGAATGTAGAGCTTGAAACATCAAAACTAGCACTTTGAATTCTGCTGGGGAAAAAATGACCAGTAGCCAATAGAGGTGTTTCAAGAGAGATGTCACATGATCCCTGTAACTAGTCACAGTCAACAGCCTGGTTGAAGCACTTTGGACCTACTGGGGTTTCTGAACAGTTTCCAGAGTCAGCCCCATCTAGAATGTGTTACAGTAGCCCAAACATGTCCAAGTCCAGGAGTATACTAAAAGTGTGAATCTGATATTTCAGGGAGTGTAATTCAATTGCAATTATATCAGACAAAAATATATGTAAACGGGCATCATTTTACTCAAAAGCAATTGTAAATGGAATGTAGAACTATTTGAATGCCAATAAAGATTATTATTGCTAGAACCTCTGCAGCATTGGTTTTGTGGCTATTGTTATAGGTGGTTGTACCCAAAACGCACAGTCTATTACTTCTATCCATAAAGAGATGAATGTCCTGTTTTTAGGGAAAGATGTATCAGGGTATCTGAATATGGAAAGCATAACGCTCATGTAGCAGTTGATTAGAAACAAACCCCATATTAGCAATAATTCATGAATAGAAAGGTTTACAGTTTGTCCTTTACATCTGCAGTTCGGCTTTTGCTGATTTGATAATTCACAGATTTGATTAAAATGTTCCACTGGATGCTGAGCATAGAATCATGCTAGAGGACCTAGAAATTCCTACAATGGCTCTCTCAAATAAAAAAAAGAATAGCATATTTTTATTAGTGTTTTTTCACATTTAAGGGGATTATTTGGCCCTAACCTCAGCAAATGTGGGGAGCTGATTGTAACTGAAACTATGTGACTGTCCAGTGTTACAAAAAATAGGCCCAAACCTGTGGACTCCATGAAGGTTCTTTTACATAAACTGGACTGTACTTTTCCCATTTCTTTTTTAGAACTTTGGAATTTTGTTAGAAGCTTCACACACGTAACAAGATCCTTTTGCATTATAATTAGAAGTTGTTTTTCTAGGCAAATTGACAGTATATTGACCCTTCTTCAGTGTGTGTGAATTATAAACTGAACTGTGTATTATTTTAAAGGGGAAACTTATTAGTGGAAATATTCTGTTTCTTCCTAACATCATTCAGCTTTCATTTTAAACCCACCATCACCTATATGGCATGTGTCAAAGAAAAATTATTCACTGGTTCCTTTCTCATTAAATGCTAGTGAAGCCTTCAGCATCTGGAGCTAAAAATAACAATCCCTTCACTGGGAACAATTTCTCACTAAATGAGCGTTCATTTTCAAGGAAACCTGGAAAAGTTTAAATGTGAAATGGTATTGAATTGATTCTTGTAATGTGTAAAGATCACTTTTGCAACTATTATAAAAATTAGTCCTTGTTCTTAATTAGGTGTTCAACACCTTCCTGCACCCAATTTCCAAGGCTGGAGGCTGACATCGATTATCACATTCAGCAACAGCAGCAGAAGCAAAAACCCGATGTTGACCATAACCAGCTATGAATCATCAGCAACAATCCATGAGATTTTTTTAAAAAATACTCTCTGGCATATAGTGAAAATTGGCTCTTAGCAAGCTGTGAATATATAAATATGAGATTCTCTCTTTCCCTTTCCTCTTTATCCAGATTTCTACATTAAATGATTGCTTGCCTCAGAGATGTGAGTTCCCTCAGTGGAGTGGATACACTCCTGGGCCATCTGAACAATGGCATCAGATTTGGTGTAAACTTGGTACTGAATCGGGGACTGTTCCACAGCACATATATACCAGGCTAAACTACCCAATGTAGGTAGGCCCTTAGTCTGATTTTTGCTTCTAGCTGCACAAACCATGCTATACAAGTCAGCAGAAAACAACAATTGTTTAGGCTTAGATGATTGCATACTTTTAGATGAGTGAGCTGTGTTGAAAATGAATGATTAAACTATCCCATTAACATAAAATATATTTTCCAGCATTTTAGATTGATTTCTGATGGGTAAAAAGAATCCACTTAAAATAAACCTGAATTAGTGCTTCTGGGCAGCTTGTCTCAAATCAAAAACCAGGATGACACTATCTCCAAGGAACATTTTAATTGGAATGTCCTGCACAACTGGATGTCAGAGTGTAGCTTTGAGGCTTTTGTCAACTGCATTGCTTCAATGCAAACTGGAAAACTTGACAGTACTCACAGGCTTTCATTGCAGAGCCCCAGTTTTTTTGTCAGGCTGACAGGAAGCGTCAGAAAACTGGCTGAGTTAAACATTTAGGGCACTCGTCCAGAGACATGACACTTTGCAATGACATCTGAGCAGGGAAATTGCACCCTGTTCTAAATACAACTCAGATTATTTTTTAGTTATATTTGCCAGGTTGTTGTCATTCCAAGAGAACTGCTGGAATTCAACAGAGCTCAAATTCACCCACTATAATAACTGTAGAGCTGAAGGGCTTATTTTTTGTTCTAGACTCCCCATAGGGGGTTGAGTTATAAATACCATTATTTTTCCCCAGAAGCAATCTAGAGAAGAAAT